GACAAGATCCTAGTCGGAGTAATCAAAAATGAAAGGATCAGACAAGAACTATAAGATATTCAAGATTTATATAAAGTTCAGGCAAGAATCTGTTTTCTTTCCTTTAGAAAAAATCTTGTGTGAGCATCAAGAAGATAAAGAAATTAGAGCGAAATATAAGATTTTTTAAATTTCTTAGTATTAAAGACGAGATTCTTGTCAGCTTTTCTAGATCATCAGCAAGTGATGTAGTTTTTGTTTGAACACACATATATATATATATATATATATATATATACATAAAGGGTGGCCCAGAAGTCCTGATTCGATTTGTATAATGAATTTTTTGTAGCAAATTCCGTGACTAAGAAATATGTCTCTATGAGAAAAAGATGCAGTAAAAGACGCTCTGCAAAATGGCTTTTAATTGACCTCGCCAGCTCTTCTAGTAAGAAAGTTATAGATTTTGAAATGTGCTTGAGAAACGAGAAAACTTAACCGTAAGTTCGATGAACGTTATGTTGATTTCAGTAAAAGCTTCATAACTTCATAAAGATGAAAGGTTTTTCGATCGGGTTTATTTTGTATTGATCAAGAATGATTGCTCTGCTCTACTTAGCTTAAGATCCTGATTTCGGGCATGCTTTTCGCTTCTTGATGGATCTTCTGTCTTAAAATTGAGTTGTCAATTTTGACCTATTATTAAAACTTGGTTTTCGAGTAGTTCATTTGTCCTAATAAATTTTTCTTACATATCACGAAAAAGAGTACATTTAAAAGTACCTCCCATCAACTGAGTTCTCAGTTTTACCAAAGTTTTTCATAGGAATAGGGAGAGAAGAGAAACTTGGAATCGAAAAAAAATATTAAATTTAAAGTTTTTATTTTTTTCGCCTCCCTTATAATTTGTCAAGTTTCTTTAATCGAAGTTCTGTAATTAAGGATTAAGCATAATTTTGTAGAAAATTTGAAGGCGCTTCTATCCGAAAAAGAATATGTACTAGGGCATTTAATAAACAGGAGTCAAAGTGCAAATACCCTGACTGAGATTATGGTTGATTTTTTTGTCAAGCACATTTCAAAATCTGTAACTTTTTTACTAGAAGAGCTAGCGAGGTCAATTAAAAGCCATTTTGCAGAGCGTATTTTACTGCATCTTTTCTCATAAATATATATTTCTCAGTCACAGATTTGCTACAAAAAATTCATTATAAAAATCAAG